AGAACTGTTTATTGACCTACTTACCAGCCCTATTACTTAACCGGCCTACTTTCTTTTTCGCGTGGGGATTCCAGTCTAGCGCTGTGTAATGGTTTATATTTATTTGCGTGCTGAGTCCCCAATACATGAACATCACGCCACGAATTGTGGGTATTATAAAATCTGGTGTGAGTGGATGAGGTCAAGCAGCTTACTAGTGACAACAGTTATTATTATTGCAATACGGTGGTAAACATTGAAATGGACGCGAGCGAGAAGGTATTCGAGAGGCCCATTAAATAATTTAAAAATCATGCACGACCTAGCTACAATTAAAATGGTTATAAAATCCTGTCTGTCTGGGTTTTTTTCGGACTTTACTAATGATTGGATGTATTTGATGTGTTTAATATTTTTGGTAACTAAATTAAAATTAAAAAAAAAAAGCAAAACCAATTTGGTTTTCACGTTTAATGGCGACATAAACAATGGCATCCTGCTATTCGATTGGCTGCCATAAATTTTCTTGTACACATTTTAAGCAAAAAAAAAAAAGGAAAACTAGGTCATGGGGTTTAAATTTGCATTGTTATTTAAAAACTTTATCTGCAAAGTTTTATAAACAAATAGTTATCGACCACGGAGTTCCTGTACAGCCAATCAATTTTCGTCTTACAAAAGTAAAACATCCGGTTATAACTTAGGCTTAATGAAAATAAATAGAAATGTAGCCTTAAACTCAACAAATTATTATCAAGTTCTCTGGATTTGCAAATTTAATAGCATTGATTCTAAAAATATAAAATTTCTGAATTAATTTTAGGCTTAAGTTTTTACTTTTTACTATTTCTATGGTCGATTTGTTTGCTAAATCTAAAAAAAGCACATTTTTATTCTACGTCAACAACATGATAGAAGGATTCTCGTCAACTCGCTCGCCTCTATTCGAGGGTAACATCAACAAAAATAGCCATTAGGGGCAACATAATGTAGTGTAAAGATCATCACCATCATAACATCTTGTTATGAAATGACTTTAAAATGTGTAAATTTGATAGCAAATTTAAGTATAACAGGCAGTTACTTAAAATTTAACTGGAGACAAACCTAAGGCAGTTCTCCATGGATTGTAGGGGGTGGATGAATGGATGAGTTTTCTGTATTATTTATTTTTATGTTTTTATAAAAATGTATAGTATTATGTATAACCTAGATAAACGAAATAAGTGTTAGCACTTTAAAAAAGAAATGAATACTTACGTAACAAATTAGATAGGAAATTTCGGGATGTATTTCAGCTTCGATTGTCCAATGTAGTAGCTGCTGGCGGCCTTCATCTCTCACCACACTAATGACACATCATCAATCCATTAAAAAATTTAGGACTATTGACACAATAAATGGCCGAACAGAGTCATCTATTGTCAAGATTATCGAATGAACGTAAACAATAGAAGTATGGTAAATATGGCGTTCGAAAAACTAATCGATTCGTGTAATCAAGAATATTGTACAGCACTGGGAGTGATCGGGTCGGTTAAGACCATAGTTGCTGAATCAAACAGTCCCGAGTTCGACCCCCGGAAGAAATCTATACCAACTCTAAAAAAATATTATGATCGAAGTAGAAGAAGAAAAACAAATTAATGCGAATGGATATAATGCGAAGAATGTCAGGACTGCTGTATGGATATTTTAAGACGGATTTGGTATAATGCGAACAATGTAAGGACTGCTGTAGGATATGATAAGTTAGGGTGGGAAAAATGTGAACAACGTCAGGACTGCTGTAGGATATACAACGGGGTTGGTATAATGCGAAAAATGCGAGAGTGGTTAACTTTAGAGGGGATCTATGAGTAGTATATTAGGTCACCTTTGAAGCGAATTCTTGGCGGAGGGTGAGGCGGAGGCGGAGGTGGAGGTGGAGGTGGAACAAAGGATATATAGTAAAATTCTCCCCCAGCCTGGTACAATGACATATAGCAAAATACTCACCCACCAGGGTGAGGCGAAGGAGCCGCAGGGACAACGAGATATAGTAAAATACTCCCTGGGGGAGGTGGAGGTACATCGACATATAGTAAAATACTCCCCCACCTGGGTGAAGGTGGGTGAAGGTGGGTGAACCGCAGGGACAATGAGATATAGTAAAATACTCCCTAAGGGGAGGTGGAGGTACATCGACATATAGTAAAATACTCCCCCACCTGGGTGAAGGTGGGTGAAGGTGGGTGAACCGCAGGGACAATGAGATATAGTAAAATACTCCCTAAGGGGAGGTGGAGGTACATCGACATATAGTAAAATACTCCCCCACCTGGGGGAGGTGGATGGTGACGGTAAGATATGTTATATAGTAAAATACTCCCCAACCTGGGTGAAGGTGGGTGAGGGTGGGTGAACCGCAGGGACAATGAGATATAGTGGGGGTGACCTTGTGACGTAATCACCGCAGGTGACCTTGTTACGTAATTTTAATGAGTTTTTAATGAGTTTTAATGAGTTTTTAATTAGTTTAATTTTAATTAATTAGATTTTTATTAATTTTTATTAACTAGTTACGTAATTTGATTATTTGTTTGATTTTAATTAATTTGATTTTAATTACTTTGTTTGTATTTTGTTTTTAATTAGTTCAATTATTATTTTTTAATTTAAATTTTATTATTAAATTTTATAGTTGTTTATTTATTTTATTATAATTTATTTAATTAAAAAACAAAATAAATTTTAAATTTAAAATTACAAAATTAAAATTTAAAAAATTAAAATCAAACAAATAATCAAATTACGTAACTAGTTAATAAAAATTACAAAACAAAATAAATAAACAACTATAAAATTTAATAATAAAATTTAAATTAAAAAATAATAATTGAACTAATTAAAAACAAAATACAAACAAAGTAATTAAAATCAAATTAATTAAAATCAAACAAATAATCAAATTACGTAACTAGTTAATAAAAATTAATAAAAATCTAATTAATTAAAATTAAACTAATTAAAAACTCATTAAAACTCATTAAAAACTCATTAAAATTACGTAACAAGGTCACCTGCGGTGATTACGTCACAAGGTCACCGGTGATTACGTCACAAGGTCACAGGTGGTGATTACTTTACAAGGTCACCCCCACCACCTCCCCCACACTAGGGTGGGGGAGTATTTTACTATATATCCTTTGTTCCACCTCCACCTCCGCCTCCGCCTCACCCTCCGCCAAGAATTCGCTTCAAAAGTGACCTAATATACTACTTCTATGCAAGAAGGAAGCGATAAGGAGCAGGGTTTAAGAATGAATTAGACATTACAAGAAACATAGGCATGTTTAGAAATATAATGACTGTATATAACGATAAGGTGGCTAATCTCATTCAAGCATTATTTGGACTTCTAAACCTACACTGACCAACTCACCTATGAATGTGATCTTCATGTTTTGGTTTGTGGAGAACAAGAACATTTAGGTAGGTTGAAAGGTTCAGCCAGTGTGTATTGGCCCTTATTTATACCCACGTCCTACCACACAGGCTATTCACGCGGGTCAATGATCCCAATGTTGTGAACTATTGAATTACCCCCCCCCCCCCCCCCCCCTATACACACACCCCTAGGCCACTGGTCCGCTTAAAGACTACCATTGTCAAGCCAAAGCTTACACTGTTAGACGGGCATCTAATGGTAGACCCCCGCAAAGTACCCTATAATTGTCACTAACAAATTGGTACGGATACACCCCCCCCCCTTCTATTTTTCCTGTCGAGTTTTACACCCTACAAAATAAGTAAAGGCCTACTCGAAAAAAAAAGTCCCATTATATTTTTATTATCTGTTATGATTCTCCATAGCTGAAACGGCAACATTAATGTGTTAATTTAACTTCAAAAAGATGTAGCTGTTCTAGTAATGAATCAACTCCCTCGAGCAAGTATAGATCAAGATGATAATCGTAATGGGGATGTGAAGGTCCTGACCTTCTCCCCCCCCCTTTAACTAAATCCTTCTTTTGCTACAGAAATTAACCCTAGTATTAAATTACTTTCCTGTCTGTAACTTTGAGTCATCTCCCATGCTATAAAACACAGGGCGTCTATAATCTGCCTTACTAATTTAATTAGAGGAATTAGTACTTGATTTGTAATTAGATAACTTGACTTTTTATTTGGATATTAGTAATCATGTTGAGTTCTAATCAATGTATTTATAATAAGTCATTTATTTTTTCTAAGCGCATTAACAAGGTTATAAATTACACTGCGGATTTTACTTTCGGTCTGTTAGATGTAGCACTTCGTGACAAAGTTAAATAACAACCAGAGATTTACTCAGAAGGTATGTACATTTGTAGACCAATTGGTATTATGAAGTTATATAAAGCCAGAGATTTATTCAGAAGGTATGTACATTAGCAGACATATTGGAATTATCTGTTTACTTACAAAGGACGTAATAAATTATTAGAAAATGAATAAAGAAGACTACATTATTTTTCTAATCGGCAATGAATTTAAGTAGTAATTTCCTTGTAACAGTCGTTAGACTTTTTACTTACTAAGTGTAAAATTCGGTTAAAACTCATTAAGGTGACATGATTAATTAATTATAATCATTCAGTTAAGCTAATCTGCGCTTAAAATTCGTTAGACCGTCCATCAATCTATCTAGCTAAGTTGAGGACATTATCTGGGACATTCAAAAGGACAGATATTCATAAGGTCTTAAAGTCATTAGTTTTTACCTAAAAGTAATACAAAAGAGTAAACTTGATGATATGTATTCATAGTTATAAAAGAATTATAAATATGAATGCAAGTTATTTTTAACTCATGTATTGAACTAATTACAGTGTATTGTTGTATCAGAACCATCTTACATCTGCTTACAGCTGATGGCGCTGACCAGTTTGGTGTTGATGTTGACAACTGGTGTTATTTACAACTGGAGAGGTCATCCAGTACACAGACTTACCCCCCTCACTGTCTTCATCATAGCTGTCGCCAGTTATAACGACAACATGATGAAACATCGAATCGTTAACGACGACATGATGAACCATCAAACAGTTAACGACGAAATATCCAACCATAATGACAACATGATGAAACATCAAATAGTTAACGACGATATAATGAAACATGAAACAGTTAACGACGAAATGTCTAACCATGACGACGAAATGTCTAACCATAACGACGAAACAACAGATCTAAAACAATTAACTTTTGTGAAAATAATTTTAAAGGATTTGTTTATCTGCGGGAATTGTGAATGTTTTAACAAAAGCAAAGTTTCTTTCGCTAAATGTACAGGAAAAATTGTTCAAATTCCTGTAGATCTACCAAATTACATTCAGCATTTGACCATCGGAAAGTCTGACTTTGCAGTCTTCCGCCCGACGGAAGTTTTACGGTATGCGAATCTTTCTTATCTGCATATAAAAAACAACCCAAAACTCGTGGCAATAAGGTTATACCCGGTGTCTGATAAGACATCCGTTTTAGAAGAGCTAGACTTGAGCACGAACAAAATTTCAATAATATATGAAAACAGTTTTCACATTTTTCCCAACTTAACTTCGCTCTCCCTTAGCGTGAACAATATCTCCGCCATTACTAGGAACACGTTTACTGGTCTTGGTCTACTACAAGCCCTGAATCTTTCATTCAACTTGCTTGAAACTCTGGAGAACACAACCTTTGATGAACTGAAGAGTCTGACTCTGTTGGATTTACGGCACAATACAAACTTAGGATACTCCCCAAAACATTTCCCAGAATCCTTGCTGTCCAATCTTTTATTTCTGACTGACCTTTACCTTGAAGGTAATTCAGACAAATCTGATCACTACCCTGACCTGGCTCTACAGCCGCTCAAACAGTTACAAACGTTGACTGTAGATGGGTTGGATCATCCTTTCGGCAGAAAACTCATTTCTCTGGGCAATTTAACCAGCATAAAAATAGGTCTTTCCCCAGGAACTTGCAATATAAACAATTTCTCTGATCACTTTTTCACAAATACACCTTTCCTAAGGCATGTTGAAGTAAACGGCTGTTCTACCCAGCGAATGAATCTAAAAACTTTTCAAAACCTTAGAAACATCACAAGTTTATCTCTAACTAACATCCCGGGGTATGACTTATTTGATGCTTTTGAAGACCTTGAACACATACATAAAAGTTCGATTGCATTTCTGAAACTTTCCGGCCTAAACCACACGCTTGTGATGTGTCGTATCCTTGAACCTTATCACGCTAAATACCTACAGCACATGAGGATGAGCTCCTTAGATCTTTCCAATAACAACATCATTATGATGAGAGACGGCTTTGCGAATTTACTTCCAGGCACGCTTCAAAAACTAATTTTAACGAACAACAAATTAAACCCCAGAGTAATGATCCTGAAACAGATCAAATCATTGTCTAATCTGACCGCTCTTGATCTAAGTTTCCAAGGGTACTCTGACTTTTCAGATATTGATAACACTTACTCGTATAAGACATCAAAAAATATTGACAGTCATGAAGCGAGTGAAGAATCGGAATTGAGCTCAGTATATTGCCCTGTTGGAGAGGAGACGTTCTATAAACAACAGAACCACTCACACAATTTTCACATCGAGAAAAATATACTCCCAAGAAATCTCAAATCAATTCGTGCCTTACGCTACATTCGATTCGGTTTGTATATTTTATATTGCAATATCAAAGAACGATACGCTCTCCAAACGTTAGATTTTTCTGGAAGCTACATGACGCGCTGGGGTAGCGGAAAACTGCCCCCGGGAATATTGAGAGCGAGTTTTGCCAGGAACTATTGTTCAAATTTAACGCAGAGTTTTTTTGAAAAAAATAAATCACTAAAAATATTATTCCTGGGCGACAACTATCTGGCCGATGTTTTCGCAGCCGATTCTTCAGGTGCTATATTCTCTACCCTAAACAAACTAGAATACCTGGATCTGTCAAAGAATGCTATTTATAAACTCCCCTTCAAATTCCTTAATGGCTTGCCAAGTCTGAAAATTATTGATATCTCACAAAACAAGTTGCAGGTTATAAATATCAGTTTAGCGAGCTCGCCAAAACTCAGGATAGTTGACCTGAGCAGAAACTCCATTTCCTGGATCACCAGAAGTACACGTGATGACCTTGACACCATTGCTGCTAACCACACACTGTACCTGGACCTAACCTCCAACCCACTGCCCTGTACTTGTAAAGGTTTGCCCATCATATTTTGGCTGGCACACACGAATGTTTATTTACTAAGTAAAGATTTCCTTACATGTAGTGATGAAGACAATAATTATGTTAGCATGGGAGACGTCAGAAAAAAATTAGAGACCTTACAGAGATATTGCGCGTCTAAGGAGCTGATGTTCATCATTTGTTTGTTCAGTACTGTGTGTATAGCACTTGTTGTATTGCTGCTTACCATGTACAGGTTCAGATGGAGGCTGAGATATTTAAGGACCGTAGCGATAGGAAAACTGTTGGGGTTTGAGTCGACGCTACCCAACAACCTGCGCTACAAGTACGACGCTTACATACTGTACACAGACGAGACGCGGAGCTTTGTGCTGCAGGAATGTGTCCAGGAGCTGGAGGTCAACAGGGGTCACAGGCTGTGTATTGAAGAGCGGGACTTCATGCCGGGCACCTACACCGTGTCGGCCATTGTCAGTGCCGTTCAGAACAGCGCCAAGACCGTGCCGGTGGTCACGCCTGAGTTCTACGACGGTGAGTACGCGGAATACGGCTTAAAAATGGCGGTCATGGAGGAGATCTTCAGCAGACGATCAGTCCTTCACCTCTGTATTTACAAGCCAGTGTCTGCAGACGACATGTCACGTGATCTCCTGTCTGTGTTGAGGAAAAACCGTTTCACGGAGTTCCCGGCAGACGATGAGATGACCCCTGAGGCTCGGCTAACTTTCTGGGACGAAATGTCAAGGTCCATCTCACATAATCCAGCGGAAGACTAGAGCTCCACCTTGCACTAACCCTATCTGAGATTAAAACTTACATTGTTTAAAAGCACAATTCAATCTGCTTATCTAACCACACTTTTTTTTTTATATTGTAGAAAATTTATACATACGTTTATAATAAACTGAGCACAATATATTCAACAATATTTTATACCTAATAATTTAAAATATTATTATTCTCTTAATTTAAGATGTAAATCCTAATCATACAATATTTTTAAATCTTAGATTACTCTCTAAAGAATTCAATATATATCGATTCTAAAATTGTAGGTCACTTTACAACTAAATTATACGTAACAAAAATAATCGTTGTATCTGAAAAAAAATTGTACATACAGTTTTAGTTACCTTAATAGGGGCAAAATGTATCTAGAACATTTATTTTTATTTACTGAGTTTACCTTTTATACTCTATGCACTATCACAGCTACCTTTTGTATTTACATCCAAACATAAAAGCTTCTTAAAAATTAAAAATAATAATTAATTCGTGCATTATTATGCCTTGTGTTTTAATCATAAAGCTAGTAACTCATTTTGGATGTAGGCCTATATCAGATGGAACCAAATGTGTGTTTATAAATATCGTCTTGTTTTGTTAAGTATATACCCGACATACTTCTTCATATTAAAATTAGTTAATAAAGGTAGTGAATAAAGTTAACTTTTTAAATGAAAGATCTTACAAACAACATCATGAATATCAAAACCCTGCCTCGAAACAAGAACGTTGCCTGTTAGTTTATACTATCAATTACATACAAGTAAAATAAGTTTTATTTAAGTAATAGAAAAATAAACTCATCAAGTTGATCTTAGTTTTTGATGTCAAGGTTTAATTCTCGTAACAAGAAGTTGTTTTTAACATGATGTGAAATATATATGAGTCAACAATTTATCAAAGCCTAGTCAGTGTCAATGATTTGTTAAGGGAAGTATATCCAGTCATGAGAGTAACGATGTATACTTTTCACGTTCTTAAATGTGTAACTTGTTAAGGTTTAGTTGTAGTCAAGTCTGACGTGTTGAAGACAATATTTGTTCAGTAGGATTAACAATCAGCGATAACAAGTTATAAAAATAATATCTGGATGTGTTCGTCTATCACGTTATTGAAAATAAAAAGAAACTATCAAACCAAGTCAAATAAAAGTTTTGAAAAGGAGGACAGCGTAAAACATACACATACAGCATAGCATCACCAATAATAAGAGACACAATTTACCGCAGAAATATAAAACAAATGTAAAAACAATTTATAATAATAATCTTTAGAATGCACTGGAAATACAAAATAACTCACAATTGCTTTCTTTAATGAAAGTTTGGTCGCTCTGTATATCCCTTATATATTTTAGCAATGATTTTATAAAAGAAGAAAATTAGTGTTACTTACTTGTTTTTTTTAGTGCATTTGAAAGCTTTTTATTATACCGTTTTTATATTTGTTTTATTTTACACATTTTAGTAAGTTGTTCTAAATAAGGTTGACAAAACATAGGCTACGACTAAAAGTATTTGCATCAAACCACGATAAGTTGGTTGTGATCTGAAAGAGACACCTGTTTAAAAGGCTTTGCCCCCTCCCCCCATTGCGGGGTCTGCGGCACTGTTGTTCCGCCCCAGGCTGTATATAATTACCGTGATCATGATTCTAAAAAAAACTACTTTGGTATTAATTTCTACTCCAAACATATTCGATGAATATTTTTAAAAACATTAGTCTATAGGCCTACTTTTTAGACCAAGCGTCCTTTATATTTAAAATTTTATTGAGCAAAGGAATAAAAACAGTTTTAGTTTTCACTTTGTTTAGCTAAAGAAAATAATTGAACATCAAATATGCCAAATCTTTGATAAATTCGATTAAAACCACACAATCAAGATTTTATAAGCACATTTATTTTAATAACACCAAACACGGTTTTTAAAATATTTAACGGAACGTTCAAGTCTTTTTCCGATTGTGTCCACTGATCTTCGACTGTCACTTTTTTATTTTAGTTGAAGGAAATATCAACAACATTACATATGTTCTGATGGAAAGATTATTGTACAGCAAGACTGGATTAATGGCCGAGTTAAGAAAGCTCAGCTGTGTTAGCAATAGGTAAAGCCACATCGGTAGTTTGATGTCGAGAAAACTTTGGACGAGAAAGTAAACAGAGAAAGGCAACCAGTAGAGGCTGAAACACAGGACGATCTCTCCAATTGTCTTCACGGCCCTTAAGCTGCTCGTACTTCCTCCCGCAGGCGCTATAACGCTCTTCCGGTGACGCAACGTTTCATGGTTGATGTCTTTGTGTTGAACGTATTCTCCAATCTTACATCCATCACGAATGACGTCTTCGCCATCCTTGCCAGTATTACAACTCTTTAAGTCCGAAGAGACATCCTTGCCAGTATCATTCGTAGGAATTTTGTTACTTTGTGAATTTGGATAATCGACACATTCTTCGAGAGAATTTATGTTTATCTTTTTTGTTTTCTGGTCAGTTTTTAAAGGCAGTTTGTTTTGAAAGCCAAAGAAATATTTTCTCTTGTGATTAATTCTGTAAATTTCAATTAGAATGAAAATGTACAAAATGTATATGATAGCCAGAGGCAGATTACCAACGATGGCTGTTAAGATTTTTGTTGTCAAACTTAAAGTGTGCACGCAAAAGATGTTGGGATGGGTTGAGTTGTCGCTTTTCAGGTCTGAGAACGCGTCTATTGATGCAAACAGTAAATAAATTAGTGTAGGCAATGTCCAGCATAGAGCTAGCATAACCCAAGTCACCTTCAGGGGTAGCGCTTTGTACACCAGCGGCCTACACACAGCCAGGTACCTGTCCGTTGCCATGACGACGACGTGGTAGAGAGAGACGGCGCACAAACTAATATTAAGTATGTATTTGACGCAGCTCCAGGAAGAATCCAGAAGGTTTAGTCCATTGGTGATTAAGTCCGGAATGTACAGGGGCATGACGACAAGACCGACGACAAAATCAACGACGGACATTGACGTCATCAGCAACATGGCCGCCGTTGACCTCTTGACCTTGTTTGTCTGTCCGTGGTGTTTACGTTGTACATGTGCGTACACGACAGCTGTGATGACAACACCGTTGGCAAAGACGGTGAAGACCGTTATAAGGATAGCGACCATAGCAAACACAAACACGATGTTTGGGTTATCGGATATTCTGTGATAATCGTCTTTCTCCATACTTAAAAGTAATCATTTAACGATTCCTTTGTATCCGAAATCTGCAAGAAAGTTTTCAACGATATATGAAATGAAAGATGACGAAGAGTTCTGTGTAATATGTAACATTAAATAAGAAGGTATATTAAAATGCTACTGAATTAAATTATAAAAGTCACGTTTTGCATAGTTTTTTCTGTCTCATGGTGCTTTTGAGATGGCAACTAAGATGTGCTTGCATGCTAGTGCTGTTGTATTGGTTCATTACGGTTTTTATAAACATAGTGATAAAAAAATAGCCTTTAAGGGCAACACAATATATTGTAAAGATCATCATCATCATAAAATCTTGTTATGAAATGACTTTACATGTGTAAATTTAAAAAGCAAATTTAAGTATAACAGGCAGAGTTACTTAAAATTTAGCTTGAGACAAACTTCAGGCAGCTCGCCGTGGATTGTAAGGGGTGGATGAATGGATGAGTTTTCTGTATTATTCATTTTTTATGTTTTTATAAAAACGTATAGTATTATGTATAACCTAGATAAACGAAATAAGTGTTAGCACATTAAAAAAGAAATGAATACTTACTTAACAAACTAGATAAGAGAATTCGGGATGTGTTTCAGCTTCGATTGTCCAATTTAGTAGCTGCTGGCGGCCTTCATCTCTCACCACACTAATGACACATCATCAATCCATTAAAAAATTTAGGACTATTGACACAATAAATGGCCGAACAGAGGCATCTATTGTCACGATTATCGAATGAACGTAAACAAAAGAAGTACGGTAAATATGGCGTTCGAAAAACTAATCGATTCGTGTAAACAAGAATTTTGTAGTGCATTGGGAGTGGTCGGGTCGGTTAAGACCATAGTTGCTGAACCAAACAGTCCCGTGTTCGAACCCCCGGAAGAAATCTCTACCAACACTAAAATATTAAGATCGAAGTAGAAGAAGATTTCGCATTGAAAAATACAAATTAAAAGTTTCTTTTTAAATCCTGCAGAAGAATGTTTGTGTTTTATCCCCATCAGCCCAATTCCTACTGGCATTAGAACAGACAAATTTCAACAACTATCAAAATAAAATACAACAATTCGACCCCTCTCATAATAAAATACAACAATTCGACCCCTGTCATAATAAAAATACAACAATTTGACCCTTGTCATAATAAAATACAACGATTTGACCCCTCTCATAATAAAATACAACAATGCGACCCCTGTCATAATAAAAATACAACAATTTGACCCTTGTCATAATAAAATACAATGATTTGACCCCTCTCATAATAAAATACAACAATGCGACCCCTGTCATAATAAAAATACAACAATTTGACCCTTGTCATAATAAAATACAATGATTTGACCCCTCTCAAAATAAAATACAACAATTCGACCCCTATCATAATAAAATGGAACCATCGAACCCTCTCACAATACAACTTAACCATCTATTTGACATGCACTTCCTATAAACAAATCAAACCCTCCTCCATCACACAATAATAAATAATCCACAGTACCACAATTCTCATTATACTGTACTACACATTCAGAACTGGTTTAAAAATAAATTGTTTTTATTTGACAGTCGAATAAATCTAGACCGTCTAATGCAGCAGTAAAATGTACAACTAAAACTGATTGGTGTTAAGAGCTCATTGGATATTTAACTTGAGCAAAACAACAAAATATTTGCAATGCTTGTCTTAAGCAGTTATTTGTGGATATCTTTGACTAGGTACAACAGCTGTAACTGGTATATGTATATATACATACATATAGGACTATATATATATATATATATACATATACATATACATATATATATATATATATATATATATATATATATATATATATATATATACATATACATAAATCCCAATAACTATACATGATTACAGTGCGTGCCATGTGTTTATGTGTAGTGTATATACCCAGTCATCGCATCAAGTGACTGGAGTATTGGACTGTGCGCAGTTGGTCGGTAGGAGATTACTAGCGCGTGCAATATCGCATTTGGATTAATTGAGTTCCACTTCACTAATTATGCAAGAGGGGGGAGTGAATGTTTCTGCATCAAAATATTATTTAACATTAACATAAAAGTTATTTTAAAAAAAAAACATAATTGCCAGTATACCCCCCCCCCACCACCGTTGCTCACGAACATCCAGATAATTAGTATAATATAAAATAGATTTAATTAAAAAAATTTTCAGCCTCAAATTTACAGTTAGGATGATTAAATTATCTTCAAATGATTCTGATAGCTCTTAACATTAGTTTGGACTCCAGGTGGGTATCATCCTGGAAATTCCACCTCCCCCCAAGTGTTTCTTTCAGACTTTTTTCTCCCGGGGGGACGGGGGACGACTTGAAATTTTCGGGGTGGGGCGTAGACTTTCTTTGGGGGGTGGGGGACGGACACTGTTAAAAGTATATAATTTCTATATAATTTTCATTTCATTCGAGGGGGGGGGGGGGGGCGGTAGACTTTCTTCGGGGGGGGGGGGCGGAGCCGAAACTCTGCTCCCCCCTCCCCTGGTAACTGAGCTAGATGGCAATACGAACCTGTATTCGACTACACGTTGTAAAGCAATAAACAGGTGACCTTAATCCGAAGACATCAAACAGGCCCGTCGTTTTCATTGTTCTAGCATGTGCACGTCAGATCCTTATATCCTTCTACTGTAGCCACACATACATTCAAAACTTGGGAAAATATTCAGTGCTTGAGAATTTTCCCACGTTTTCTTTAACTTGCTTTCGTGTCTGTTTGTTTGTTTTTTTGTTTTTTTGTTTGTCTTTCCATCAAATCTTGCGATCGAAATTTCGGGCTCTTCCCAGTGAGCTAGCGCGCTGAAATTTTCAGGGAAGCTTTGTTTCCGATGACAATACAATATTCAATTATTATTATTATTACTAAATTGATCCATGGAAAAAATATTATTGATCATTTTAGACTCCTATTGATTTGTACAAAAAAGGGACATAACCTAGAAATTGTTATTTGATAAAAAGAAGGTTCGGTACTTTCCCTCTTCTGGCTTACTGAAAAACAAATGAAAAATCATGAAGGAGCGAGCACGCGATTAGCTGAGTAGTGGTCACGCGGTGTTTGTGTACAAACCTATGCAAATCTGACTGTTCCGGAAGTAGAATGTTGATGGTCGAATGGTTTGCACGCGAGGGCAAAATGGTGAAAGAAACGGCAACACAGAAGAAACGTCGATTGGAAAAGGCACGCCAGAAGTATCAAGAGAAGCGCAATGCAGGATACAGATTGGAAAATCCCCCTAAACGATGGATCGAATCATTGATTCTGGAAGAAACGCCGGCAAAATCGACATGAGCAAAGCTGTATCCAACGATATAAATAAGACTGGAAGATTGCAAAAGGAAATGGAAATATTCCTCGGCGCTAAAGTGATGTTGAGAGCGAACATCTTCGTTGAAAAGGGACTGGTTAATGGCGCAATCGGCAACATTGCAGAAATTCATTGGCCAAATTTCAGACGCGACCAGATTGATAAAGACATTCCTGACTAAAGCATTGACTTTGGACCAGATGGAATCCATCGGATTGAGCCGAGATGCGTAGAATTTGATGGAAAACTGAATTATGGAAAAGTCGAGCGAAGACAACTGCCCATAACTCTATGCTGGGCATGCACAGTGCATAAAATGCAAGGCTGCACAGTTGATCACGCAGTTGTCTATTTAGGACCAGCGCTTTTTGAAACGGGCCAGGCGTATGTTGCGCTCAGTCGAGTACGATCACTCGAAGGCGTACGCATTGTGGAATTGGATTGCAGCAAGCTAACTGGAAAAAAATCATGCAATGAGGAATGTCTACAGGAGATGGAAAGAATGCGTCGACACTAACCTCCAGCTGATCCTGAATAATAAGCGTGTCATGCCTGGTATAAGTCCCTCTTATCTTTGTGTTCGTCCTTTGTGAGTGTTTGTCTTCGTTTACCCAAAAAAAAGTGAATGCGAGAAGATAAAATCGATAGCAATATTTGAATGCAAACAAACAGACAAAGACTAAAAAGTAGAAAATAATTATCATTAATTTTTAAAAAGAAAACCCCACGTTTTCTGATTGAACTAAAAAGTAGAAAATAAATGCTATACATCACAATAATGCAAGCGATCACTCTACTATAAGCGATCGCAAACTACGTGCGCATGATGACAAAAAATGAAAAACGTGAAAAAAGTTTTACAAAACAATGTACACCAAAATTAGATTGTATACTTATTTATTACCTCGACGCAAAACGTTTATTAGAGAACTTACAGGCAACTTCTATACACGTTTCTTTTATCACAAACATGCACAGTTACTGAAGAACTGAGAATAGACGAAATTGGTTGATTATTTAATTCAATTTTTATTGCAATAAATTTAGAAATAAAATATGTACCGCCTTACAAAAAAAATATCAATGTTTTATCCCGTGTTAATTAAGTAATATCCTTTGATACTTAAAAATTAGAATTTTACGGTTTAATTTTTCTTGCAGGGAATATAAGTGACATGACTGATGCTCTTATAGGAAGATTATTGTACAACAAGACTGGATTAATGGCCGAGTTGAGAAAGCCCAAAAAGCTTAGTGCCAGATAAGTCCCCAGAGACAGGTGGATGTCGAGAAAGCTTTTGATCAGATAATAAAACGCTAAAGGCAACCAGCAGAGGCTAAAACACAGGACGATCTCTCCAATTGTCTTTACGGCCCTTAAGCTGCTCGTACTTCCTCCCGCAGGCGCTCTGACGCTCTTCCGGTGACGTATTGTTTCTTTGTTGACGTCTTTATGTTGTACGTATTCTTCATTCTCAAATTTCTTACGACTGACGTCTTCTGTAACCTTACAGCCATCATGACAGACGTCTTCTCTAACGTTACAACCATCACGACTGACGTCTTCTCCATTTCTAGCAGCATTATGACAGCATACATCTGAGTGTTCAATGACAGATTCTGTGTTTGTTGGAATCTTTTGAATACCACACGTTTCTCCACTGTGGCTTTTTATATATGTGGCGTTACATACACTTCTCTGTGTGTTTAATAAAACATTCTTTCCAACATGATTGGTAAGAATTTTGTTAATTTGTGATTTTGGATCGAAAGAATCTCCATTTAATTTGCTTGCTTTCTGGTTAGACTGTAGGCGGCCATTTTTCTCAAACCCGAAGAAGTTTTTCCTCCTGCTATTAAATCTGTAGACCTCCAAGAGGATGAGAAAATACAAAACGTAAACAATGGACATCGGGAGATTCGCCAAAACCCCCATGGAGATTTTCGTTGCCAGACTTGAAGAACGCTCACAAGATTGGGCAGAGGTGGTTGAATTGTTGGTCGTCTCGCCGGACATAGCGTCTATAGATAAAAACAGTAAATAAATCAGAGTAGGCAATGTCCAGCATAGAGCTAGCATGACCCAAGTCACCTTCGGGGGTAGCGCCTTGTACACCAGCGGCTTGCATACAGCCAGGTACCTGTCCGTTGCCATGACGACCACGTGGTAAATGGAAACGGTGCAAAAGTTGACGTCGAGGACGTACCTGGCACAGTTCCAGGAAAAATCGAGAATGTTTTCCCCATTGGTGATCAAGTCCGGAATGTACAGGGGCATGACGACAAGACCGACGACAAAATCAACGACGGACATTGACGTCATCAGCAACATGGCCGCCGTTGACCTCTTGACCTTGTTTGTCTGTCCGTGGTGTTTACGTTGTACATGTGCGTACACGACAGCTGTGATGACAACACCGTTGGCAAAGACGGTGAAAACTGTTATAAGGATAGCCACCATAGCAAATACAAACACGATGTTTGGGTTATCAGATATTCTGTCAGAGTCGTCTTTTGCCATGCTTGAAAAGACTGACTTTTTTGCTTCCGAAAATCTGAAATAAACTTAATGAAAGTATTTTCCATGTTGAATAACGATATGTTTTAAATAATTAGGAGCTTTAAAGAAAGATTTATTACTACATACTACTGATTAAGTGTACCCCTTGTGTAGCCCCTTTTTCTATTCGAGTTGATATATTGTGTACGTGGGTCTAGACACGGTGATGTTATTGTTGGGGTCTTCAACTGGGATGTTGGGATCTTGGTATATGTAACGTCGTAGGGGATATTGTTATTGACGCATTTTGTGATGCCTGGTGTAGTGGGCATTGTAAAACCGAAGAAAGTAGATGACAGCGAGGAAGAGTGTACAGGGTAAGTGAAGGGAGAGATGAAACAAATCGATACAATGCTAAGATCTAAAAACCTAAAGCTGATAAAGTAGCACAAGGTAAACGAAATGTTAACTTACTGTACTGTTTAGAAATTCCTTGATGTAAAACAATTTTGACAGCAACAGAGAGTAGCTGAGGCCGCTCTACACATTTGACCAGACAAATGGCACAACCATCGCTCAACGTAAAACATTAAGAACTATTGACACAATCATTGGCCGAACAGATTAAACTATTGACATAATAATCGGAGGAATGTAAACAAAACTCCATTTGATGGAAAATGGAGACTCGTTATCTTTGGTAAATAAAATAGTTTTAAAAGAAGGACAATTTTAATTGCTTTTTGTAACATGTTATTATGAGAGAATCACGATTTGAACAAATTAAGTTTGTAAGTAAGAATCAGATAGCATAAAATAAAATAACAATTTTCTGTACAATTTTCATCATGATAAACACAAAAATTACAAAAGACTTCGTTGTGTGTTGGATGGTTGTCTGGGTAACGGCTTTCAAGGTGTGCTTTTTTTTTTGTTCCTGGAAATAAAGCACCGCTATCTATACTATTCACATTACTATAATAAACAATTTCATTAATGAACTGCTCTTAAATTTTATTGAGAGTAATTACTAGAATCTATTTAACCGTCGAAATTTTTTGTCGAAACTGTTTGAATTATTCTATCTATGAGATGTTTGACGCACGCATTTGTTTGTGAATGTGTGTGTGTGTGTGTTTGTGTGTGTGAGTGTGTGTATTTGTGTGTGTCTGTGTGAGTGCGTCTGTGTGAGCACGACAACTTGAGTACCGTTTCAGTTAGGCTGAACACATTACATTTATCTATATATATAATTCTCTTCTGGGAGACGCTAGAAAACAAGCTGCAAGCGCGCCTTACAGTCCCCACTCTTTCTCTCTATCACTATCACTACCACCCCCACCCCACCCCCACATGGTCTGGTATGCTGTAGTCAAACTAAATGTTTACAAATCGTAGAGCCGGGTTTAGTGACGGCTATTAGGGGCAGATAATTTAGTTTGAAACGATTTAAAACTTACAGGAGGTAACTAAGAGGAGGCTGCTTTCACTGCTTTCACGGTGGGAGGGATGTGGAAGGGTAGGGTCGGGGTTAGGGGAAAGGGGGGGGGGGGTTAGTATTTTAAAGCAAATATTTTCAGTGGCAGCATTGGTACTGTCGAATTTACAAATTATGAATTACTGAAAAGTAGAAAATAAAACAACTAAATAGCGGCGTATGATACACCGCGGGTCGGCTCGTATGTATTATTTAAAATATGTAATTGTCTACTAACTTATGGCAAAAGAGGAAATGGTACTTACGCCACTTCCGGCTTCTTAAAAGCTTCAAAATATAACGATCAGCTTTTATGCACAGGTTTTAATTTACTTTTGCACGATTTATGTTAACCGGAAGTGGTTCTTCATTCCTAAAAATCTGCTATTTGTCCATGAGCACTTTTAAACATGTATAGTTTTTACTTCCTCGTATATACGAAGTATAGAGAAAGTCTTGTAATCGTGCAAAAAAAAAAAACGAGATTTTTACAAATCTCGACGTTTTACACCTCACTGATACGGAAAAACATAATTTTGCAATCTTGTCCGTATGTCTGTGTGTCTGTCTGTGTGTCTGTCTGTCTGTCTGTCCGTGTGTAAACACGATAACTTGAGTACCGTTACAGCTAGGTTGATGAAATTTCATATATAAGTATTTTATCAAAATTATAGATCCGTATCAACTTTTGAGCGATTTCCGATAACCGGAAGTGGTACTTTTCCTACTTTGAATTTTTCAAAAGCCTATAACTTGAGTACTATTTCAGATAGATAAATGAAATTTCACATGTAAGTAAAAGATCTAATTCTCTACCTTCTGTTAAATTTTGAGTAATTTCCGTTGACCGGAAGTAGTAATTTACGCTACTTCCGATTTCTCAAAAAAACTAATTAATACTAATAGTTTCGCTGTCTGTCTATCTATCTATCTATCTGTCTGACAAGAACGCTCTAGAGAAAACACAAGGAAAATAAAAACATGCATAGTAATTCGAAAAACGAAGTATGACGTCGACACATTTAGCATCTCAAGCCGGAGAGTGCACACAGTAATATGACGTCATTGATTATCGAGTAAACATTGAATAACAAGGAAATTTTGTCTAATCTAAGTGGTTTGCGTGAAGAGTTTCTTTCATACAATTCTTCGGGTAGGGGCGAAGCCCCACCCCCGCGTAAGAACGTCTGAGCCCCCCCCCCTCCCTAACTCAAAAGAAATTTCTTCATCGATACTCTATAATAAAATTACCGCCTAATTAATGTGTTTAATCTAAAAAGTGGTTTTCTTGCAATTTCTTAATGCAATTCTTCGGGTGGTGGCTAAGCGCGACACCAGTGTTTCTTTCAGACTTTTTCCTCCCCGGAGAGGGGTGGGGGTACTTGAAATTTTCGGGGGCGGGGGTAGAATTTTCGGGGAGGGGGCGTACACTGGAAAAAGTATATAATTATATTTCGTTGAATGGGACGGTAGACATGTTTTTTTGGGGGGTGGGGGTGGGGGTGGGGGTAGTGTGGGGGTGTGTTTTGGGGGGGTGGGGGTGGGGGTGGGGGGTGTGTGTTTTGGGGGGGGGGGGGTTGGGGTGGGGATGAGGGGTGGGGGGTGGGTTGGTTTTAGTTTAGAGAAAAGAGACAGCACTATCAACCTAGCGCCCGGTGTATCCTTCCTCAACGGGCCATTTTTCTCGTGTAAATTTTAAAAGTACTAATAATATTGAGCACTATTATGCGCTTTTTTATTTGGCGTTCACTTGGTGTGCAATTAATTTGTCTACGAGATTTAATCTATTTTTAAAACTTTAAGTATTTAAAATGGATTAAAAATCATGTCTATAGCCCGAGTTCCCATCCCCTGTTATTTTATATAAGAATATTCGAGAAAGTTTAGGGGAGATCACTCCCGGTTTATTTTTAAAGCCGCGGTCAATCTAGGTTAGTTTTAGGTTATATTAAACGCGATTATTGAGATGACTTTAGTTTACTTGTTTGAATGTGAGTGAGTCGCACTCTTTGTCAAGAATAGAATCTTACCTGGCAGTTACCGATCGAATTTAGGGTGCTGAAACAAGCAATCCCTTCATTGCTGATATATATATATATATATATATATATATATATATATATATATATATATATATATATATATATATATATATATATATATATATATATATACACACTAAAGTAATAATTTTAAAACAAAATAGTGTGAACAAGTTTTTTTATTGCAAAATATAACATCTTCAAAAGCACTTAAAACATTACACAGGAAACTATCAGTCATTGTCCCAGTTTAAGAAAGGGATGTTAATCTCTGACTAGACATTTCATGTGGGAAATATTAAACTGACTGCAGTTAGCGTTGTCTTTTAGTTGAAAATTTTGTTTGCCACTGTACCCCAAAGAACTGATGAGACATATTTTATCTTAACATAAAATACGAAATTGAAATATTTTCTAAAACAATTCGTTTAGGTAAGTATTTATTTCTTTTACAGTGGACTGCTACCCTATTTAAGCATTTACATTTTTTCTTACTATATGAGACAAAGATGAGCCAGTTCAAGAATAAGTATCACCTAATTTTATCTTAGAAACACATTGTATGCTAATTAATGTTATCTTTCTTTGTTTAATAATCGAAATGAAACTTTTATAAATATTTTCTACACTTATAACAAACAATGGTAGTGAAGCGTTGTATGCTTTTTTTAAATAAATAGCAACGATTTCGCTTTTGCATAATTATTTAAAATGCATCTATTTTATACATATATTGTATTTTTTAATTATAAAAGTTAAATAATGTTTTTGTAATATTAGCGATGGGAGCTAGGTTTTAATTTTCCATTTTTAAACAATATTTTAATGAAAAATACCTGACTGTAAAGTTTTAACAAATCAGTGTGCTGCTTTCTATATTTTGCGTTTTCCTCAAATAATTTTTAAACACTTTAACCGAGTTATTTAAACAAGTTTTGACGTTCTTTTCACACAATTTATTTTACGTGTATAGAATGTACACTTACTCAAATGGTCAGTTTTTCTTTATATTTTTCACATGTTATCTAAAGATTTTGATTTTGATGTTACCCCTCTCATTTTCTGAACACATGAATAATGGTTTGCTACCTTCAAATTCCTTTAGCACAGGGGTCTCCAAACTTTTCAGCCCGAGGGCCGCATTAACTATCAAATATCAGTTCGGGGGCCAGAGTTTCTTCAAAGCATCTCTTCGGGGTGGTGTCGCCCCCCCCCCCCCCCCCGAAGAACGTCTACCGCCCCCTCCCCCCAACGAAATATAATTTATATAGAAAAATATACAAATTTCAAGCCCCCCCCCCGAAGAAAATAGTTTGAAAGAAACACTGTCAGGGGCCAACTACACACTCGAGGTCCAAGTTTGCTCGCAAATTATTCTTCACTTATTTCATTCTTGAAAATGTTTCTTCACACAGGTATGATGTTCCAAAATTTGAAAGGTACTTTGATGCAAAAGTTTTAATATTAGGAAAGTCTTTCTTGTGCAAAAGCTTATAAAAACCTACCCGCCCTTCCTTGGTAAAAAAAAAACCCGCGGGCCGGATGAGAGGACCTCGCGGGCCGCATGATGATATTTTATGAGTTTATATTAAACTAATTCATTTCGTCTTTTACAGAAAGAAAAAACCTACATCGTTTAGTTTTACCTAGAATGGCTTCGATCAATTTCCTAATAGTCAGTTGTCTGAGTTCTGGCATATTCTCTGACAGCCAAACTCTGGCACATCAACGATCCTCGCCCAGGTCGTTTGTAAGTTTCCTATCTCCAAGAACTGAGCCAGGCCCAGCAAGTTACGAAACTGTTGCCCGTTTCAATTCTCCTAATACTGACAGACTTCCAGCAAACAAGATGAATCAAATAATGTTCGACGGGCCTTGGGCTCCGATAAATGAAGCACACGCAGATCAAGGAAATATTAAGGCTCGGTTCACGTGTATCAAATCTAAATATAGTAACCAGCGACGCCGTAGCGTTGACAACGTGGAGGCTTACGACATAAAGCCCGTGGATAAATTTGTTTGTGGTCCGTGTGTGTGTTCGATCAATGGCGGGGATACGTCTGTAGCAGCTTATTGTGAATCTCGCATACGTAACGTACCCACTACCATACCACATTACATTCACTGCTTGAAGATTACACATTCTAGATTTGTTTCTTTTAACACTTCATCTATCTTAATTTATAAGTCGTTGTCATATCTCGCTATTAACAAAAATGAACATTTAGTTCACATTAATTATTTTCGAGAAAATTCTTCCAATTCATCTTTAACAATGTTGGACTTGAGTTATAGTACCATTTCTGTTATTGAGAAAAACAGTTTTAAGAATTTTATTAATTTAAATTATCTTTCCCTGGCTTACAACAAAATGCCAACCTTTACAAAGCCAATGTTCGCGGGACTTGGAAATCTCAAAGTTTTAATTATTTCACATAATTTAATATCATTTTTAGAAAACTCAACGTTTGACTATTTGAAGCAACTTGAGACATTAGACATAAGCAAAAACCCATTGCTCGGGTATTGCTTTAAAAACTTTCCTAAAGATTTGTTTTCCCCTTTGGTTAACCTAAAGCAATTATATCTTCAAGGTAATGCAAATGTCACATTTGATCAATACCCTAATCAAGCTCTTAAGCTTCTTAAACGCTTAAATATACTTGGTGTTGACGGCCTTAACAATTCCTCCTTCAACACTGATTTAAAATTCCTGAACAACTTAATCTGGATACAAATTGGTCTTTATGGCACTAAATGTTCCATTAAGAACTTTCAGGATGATTTCTTTGAAAACACGCCTTACCTAACAAGTATTTCGATGAACAACTGCCTAATGAAACGAATGAACCCGAAAATCTTTTTAAAGACAAAATATCTCACCTACCTAGCCGTAACGAACATGCCTAATTACGATCTATCTGACGCTTTTGAAGATCTTGAAACTCTTGCAAACAGCTCTATCGAAACCCTAGAGATGACTGGTTTAAAAACAAGCGTATTATGTCGATTCCTCAATCCTTTTCACGCGAAATATCTAAGCACCATGAATTTAAAGAAATTAAATTTATCAAACAATAATATTGTGATGATCAAACAACATTTTGCTAATAGCCTTCCAAATAGTCTCAAAGTATTAATTTTAGACAACAACAGAATTAACCCCCAGTTCTTTATTCTCCAACAACTTAGTTCATTAACTAACCTTGATATTGTCAGCTTAAAAAGCCAAAGCCATTCTAACCTGGCCAATAGTTTTACATTCGAAGAATATGGCCCCAGTAACGTCAATAGACAAGATCGCACAATTTGTGAAAGAAAAAGCGAACACTGTCAAGGTTTGAAAAGCAGTGATACTTTTGATTCTGATTTTAAATCATATTCAGACTTAAAAGTTTGGGAGACGCAAGGAATAGTTCTACCCCCCAACCTAAAACACTTGCATGCTTTTCGATTCACACAATTCGGTCTGATCCTGTTGTTTCAGGAGATCCGAAACAAATCCTCGTTGTACAAGGTGGACTTCTCATCCAGCTACACACCTGAATGGGGTCAAGGTGTACTCCCCTCAACGGTGACTTACGCGAATTTTGGAGCGAACTATTGCCGTAATTTGACCAAACGCTTTTTTGAAAACAATACAGTTTTGACGAATTTAAGAATCAATGATAATTTGTTAGCAGAAGTCATTGCTGCTGATCAGAAAGGAGACATCTTTTCTACCTTAGACAAACTTGAACTTCTCGATTTAGCCGAAAATATAATTTACGAACTTCCGTTCCCAATTATGTCTAAACTACAAAACCTTAAAATCATAGATCTCTCAACAAATAAAATATCGACTTTGAATGTTAGTCTTGCAAACTGCAGCCGTCTAACTTACATTGACCTGAGCAGAAACTCTATCTCCTGGATCACCAGGAACACACTTGATGACCTTGACACCATTGCTGCTAACCACACAATTTATCTGGACCTAACCTTTAATCCTCTGCCCTGTACGTGTAAAGGTTTACCCATCATATTTTGGCTGGCACACACGAATGTTTATTTGCTAAGTAAAGATTTTCTTACATGCAGTGATGAGGACAATAATTATATTAAAATGGGCAATGCCGAGAAGATGCTGAAAACGCTCCAAATTCATTGTGTTTCAAAGGAACTGACGTTATTCATTTGTTTGTTCAGTGCTGTGTGTATAGCCCTTGTTGTATTGCTGCTAACCATGTACAGGTTCAGATGGAGGCTGAGATATTTAAGGACCGTAGCGATAGGAAAACTGTTGGGGTTTGAGTCGACGCTACCCAACAACCTGCGCTACAAGTACGACGCCTACATACTGTACACAGACGAGACGCGGAGCTTTGTGCTGCAGGACTGTGTGCAGGAGCTGGAGGTCAACAGGGGTCACAGGCTGTGTATTGAAGAGCGGGACTTCATGCCGGGTACCTACACCGTGTCGGCTATTGTCAGTGCCGTCCAGAACAGCGCCAAGACCGTGCCGGTGGTCACGCCCGAGTTCTACGACGGTGAGTACGCGGAATACGGCTTAAAAATGGCGGTCATGGAGGAGATCTTCAGCAGACGATCAGTCCTTCACCTCTGTATTTACAAGCCAGTGTCTGCAGACGACATGTCACGTGATCTCCTGTCTGTGTTGAGGAAAAACCGTTTCACGGAGTTCCCGGCAGACGATGAGATGACCCCTGAGGCTCGACTAACTTTCTGGAACCAAATGTCAAGGTCCATCTCACATAATCCAGCAGAAGACTAGAGCTCCACGGTGCACTAACTCTATCTGGAATTAAAACTTACATTGTTTAAAAACACAATTCAAGATGTTTATCTAACCACCATTTTTTTTTAATTTTCAGAATATTAAAAATTATTTTTATAATATCCTGAGCACAATATATTCAATAATATTTTATACCTAATAATTTAAAATGTTATTATGCTCTTAATTTTAGATGTAAATCTTAATCATACACTTTTAAAAATCTCTATAGAATTCAATAATATCGATTCTAAAATTGTAGGTCGCTTAAAAAAAAATGTACATATAGTTTTAGTTACTTTAATAGGAGCAAAATGTATCTAAAATGTATTTTTTTTACTGTGTTTACTTGTTATACTCCCTACACTATAACAGCTACATTTTGTGTTTACAACGAATCATAAAAGCTTTTTTTTTGAGGATCGAATTCGTGTATAATTATGCCTTGTGTTTTTTAACTATATAGCAAGTGACTCATTTTCGGTGTATATCAGATACAATCTATTGTGTTTTTTGTAAACAATGTCATGTTTTGTTAAATATATACCCAACATACTTCTTCATATTAAAATTAGTTAATAAACGTAGTGAATAAAGTGTACCTTTTGAATGAAATATCTTACAAACAACATCACGAATATCAAAACCCTGCCTCTAAACAAGATCGTTGCCTGTTAGTTTATACTATCAATTACATAAAAGTAAAATAAGTGTTATTTAAGTAATAAAAAAACTAAACTCATCAAGTTGATCTTACTTTTTGATGTCATGGTCGAATTCATGTAACAAGAAGTTGTTTTTAACATGATGTGAAATAGATATGAGTCAACAATTTATCAAAGCCTACTCAATGTCAAATAATTTGTTAAGGGAAGTATATCCAGTCATAATAGTAACGATGTATACTTTTCACGTTGTTAAAGGTATAAATTGTTAAGGTTTAGTTGTAGTTAAGTCTGACGCATTGAAGACTAATATTTGTTCAGTAGGATTTCAACTGAGGTTTCCCCTTAGTAAGACAAACTTTGAATCACCGAGGTCGTGTTTCTGAAAAGCCACTCAGTAGTAATTTGCACTCAAAACATAGTCGATGAATATTGATAATAACGTTAGCCTATTCTTTTGAAAAACCTACACGCTTTTATATTTTTACTGAGCCAAGGAATAAAACCAAATAGTTTTAGTTTTCACTTTGAAACTTTATTTAGCTAAAGAAAGTAATTGAACATCAAATATGTCCAATCTTTGATACATTTTATTAACACCACACAATCAAGGTTTTATAAGCACATTTATTTTAAAAACACCAAACACGATTTTTAAAATATTTAATGAAACATTCGAGTTTTTTTCCGATGGTGTCCACTGATCTTCGACTGTCACTTTTTTATTTTAGTTGAAGGAAATATCAATAACATTACAGATGTTCTGATGGAAAGATTATTGTACAGCAAAACTGGATTAATGGCCGAGTTAAGAAAGCTCAGCTGTGTTAGCAATAGGTAAAGCCACATCGGTAGTTTGATGTCGAGAAAGCTTTGGACGAGATAGCAAACAGAGAAAGGCAACCAGCAGAGGCTGAAACACAGGACGATCTCTCCAATTGTCTTCACTCATAATAAAATACAACAATTCGACCCCTGTCATAATAAAAATACTACAATTCGACCCCTGTCATAAGAAAAACACAACAATTCGACCCCTGTCATAATAAAAATACTACAATTCGACCCCTGTCATAATAAAAATACAACAATTCGACCCCTATCATAATAAAAATACAACAATTCGACCCCTGTCATAATAAAAATACAACCTATTCGACCCCTGTCATAATAAAAATACAACAATTCGACCCCTGTCATAAGAAAAACACAACAATTCGACCCCTGTCATAAGAAAAATACTACAATTCGACCCCTGACATAATAAAAATACAACAATTCGACCCCTATCATAATAAAAATACAACAATTCGACCCCTGTCATAATAAAAATACAACAATTCGACCCTTGTCATAATAAAAATACAACAATTCGACCCCTGTCATAATAAAAATACAACAATTCGACCCCTGTCATAATAAAAATACAACAATTCGACCCCTGTCATAATAAAAATACAACAATTCGACCCCATCGTCTGGGATCAGGTGATCGATCTTGTCAAACGTAAAGCCATGGTCAGTCAAACATCGGGTCATCGTGACCTTGATGCTAGAGGACTCACAGGAGGGGGCTGCACGGCACAAGGCGACCAATGTCAGGATAGCTGTAGGTTATAAGACGGGGTGGGTAAATTGCGAACAATGTCAGGATAGCTGTAGGTTATAAGACGGGGTGGGTAAATTGCGAACAATGAGAGAACTGGTGTAGGATATGTATGATAAGACGGGGTGGGTAAAATGCGAACAATGCCAGGACTGTTGTAGGTTATAAGACGGGGTGGGTAAAATGCGAACAATGTCAGGATAGCTGTAGGATGTTATAAGACGGGGTGGGTAAAAGGTAATTCAGACAAATCTGACCACTACCCTGACCTGGGTCTACAGCCGCTCAAACAGTTAAAAACGTTGACTGTAGACGGGTTGGATCATCCTTTCGGTAGAGAATTCATTTCTCTGGGCAATTTAACCTGCATAAAAATAGGTCTTTCCCCAGGAACTTGCAATATAAACAATTTCTCTGATCACTTTTTCACAAATACACCTTTCCTAAGGCATGTTGAAGTAAACGGCTGTTCTACCCAGCGAATGAATCTAAAAACTTTTCAAAACCTTAGAAACATCAAAAGTTTATCACTAACCAACATGCCGGGGTATGACTTATTTGATGCATTTGAAGACCTTGAACACATACATAAAAGTTCGATTGCATTTCTGAAACTTTCCGGCCTAAACCACACGCTTGTGATGTGTCGTATCCTTGAACCTTATCACGCTAAATACCTACAACACATGAGGATAAGCTCCTTAGATCTTTCCAATAACAACATCATTATGATGAGAGACGGCTTTGCGAATCTTCTTCCAATCACGCTGCAAAAACTAATTTTAACGAACAACAAATTAAACCCCAGGGTTATGATCCTGAAACAGATTAAATCATTGTCTAATCTGACCGCTCTTGATCTAAGTTTCCAAGGGTACTCTGACTTTTCAGATATTGATAACACTTACTCGTATAAGACATCCAAAACTATTGACAGTCATGAAGCGAGTGAAGTATCGGAATTGAGCTCAGTATATTGCCCTATTGGAGAGGAGACGTTCTATAAACAACAGAACCACTCACACAATTTTCACATCGAGAAAAATATACTCCCACAAAATCTTAAATCAATTCGTGCCTTACGCTACATTCGATTCGGGTTGTATATATTATACTGCAAGATCAAAGAACGATACGCTCTCCAAACATTAGATTTTTCTGGAAGCTACATGACACGCTGGGGTAGTGGGAAACTATTATGAGCGCGAGCTTTGCCAGGAACTATTGTTCAAATTTGACGCAGAGTTTTTTCGAAAACAATAAATCACTAAAAATATTACTCCTTGGCGACAACTATCTGGCGGACGTTTTCGCAGCTGATTCTTCTGGTGCTATATTCTCTACCCTAAACAAACTAGAATACCTGGATCTGTCAAAGAATGCTATTTATAAACTCCCCTTCAAATTCCTTAATGGCTTGCCAAGTCTGAAAATTATTGATATCTCACAAAACAAGTTGCAGGTTATAAATATCAGTTTAGCGAGCTCGCCAAAACTCCGGATAGTTGACCTGAGCAGAAACTCCATTTCCTGGATCACCAGAAGTACACGTGATGACCTTGACACCATTGCAGCTAACCACACACTGTACCTGGACCTAACCTCCAACCCACTGCCCTGTACCTGTAAAGGTTTACCCATCATATTTTGGCTAGCACACACGAATGTTTATTTGCTAAGTAAAGATTTCCTTTCATGCAGTGATGAAGACAATAATTATGTTAGCATGGGAGACGTCAGAAAAAGATTAGAGACCTTACAGAGATATTGCGCGTCAAAGGAGATAATGTTCATCATTTGTTTGTTCAGTGCTGTGTGTATAGCACTTGTTGTATTGCTGCTTACCATGTACAGGTTCAGATGGAGGCTGAGATATTTAAGGACCGTAGCGATAGGAAAACTGTTGGGGTTTGAGTCGACGCTCCCCAACAACCTGCGCTACAAGTACGACGCCTACATACTGTACACAGACGAGACGCGGAGCTTTGTGCTGCAGGACTGTGTCCAGGAGCTGGAGGTCAACAGGGGTCACAGGCTGTGTATTGAAGAGCGGGACTTCACGCCGGGTACCTACACCGTGTCGGCCATTGTCAGTGCCGTCCAGAACAGCGCCAAGACCGTGCCGGTGGTCACGCCTGAGTTCTACGACGGTGAGTACGCGGAATACGGCTTAAAAATGGCAGTCATGGAGGAGATCTTCAGCAGACGATCGGTCCTTCACCTCTGTATTTACAAGCCAGTGTCAGCAGACGACATGTCACGTGATCTCCTGTCTGTGTTGAGGAAAAACCGTTTCACGGAGTTCCCGGCAGACGATGAGATGACCCCTGAGGCTCGGCTAACTTTCTGGAACGAAATGTCAAGGTCCATCTCACATAATCCAGCAGAAGACTAGAGCTCCAACGCACTAACTCTATCTGTAATTAAAACTTAAATTATTTAAAAACACAATTCAAGATGTTTATCTAACCACCATTTTTATTATATTTTCAAAATATTTAAACTTATTTTCATAATATCCTGAGCACAATATATTCAATATTATTTTATATTTATATTTATTTATACCTAATAAGTTAAAACTTTATTTTGCTCTTAATTTAAGATGTAACTCTTAATCATAAAATTTTTAAAATCTTAGATTACTCTCTAGAGAATTCAATATGTATCGATTCTAAAATTGTAGGTCACATTACAACAAAATTATATGTCACAAAAGTTATAATTGTATCTGAAAAAAAAATGCACATACAGTTTTAGTTACCTAGGGGCAAAATGTATCTAGAACATTTATTTTTATTCTCTGAGTTTACCTTTTATACTCTCTGCACTATCACAGCTACCTTTTGTATTTACAACCAATCATAAAAGCTTCTTAAAAATTAAAAATAATATAATTCGTGTATTATTATGCCGCGTGTCAGAGGCGGAGCGAGGGGGGGGGGGGCGGGGGTTGCGGACCGCACCGGGTGACACCATTTAGGGGGGTGACACCAAGGCAAAAAATAGTAAAATATATAGAGAAAATTTGAGGGGGTGCAAATCGACAGTTTTAGGGGGGTGCAAATCGAAAGTTCGAGGGGGGGGGGGGTACAAATCGAAAATTGAAAGTTTATCCCCAGGGAAGAGTCGCTACGCCTCTGAGGGGTGACACCATTAAGTGCCAAACCGAGTGACACCCGACCTCGCTACGCCACTGCCGCGTGTTATAATCATAAAGCTAGTTACTTATTTTGGATGTATATCACATGGAACCAAATGTGTCTTTATAAATATTGTCTTGGTTTGTTAAGTATATACCCGACATACTTCTTCATATTAAAATTTGTTAATAAACGTAGTGAATAAAGTGTAACTTTTAAATGAAAGATCTTACAAACAACATCACGAATATCAAAACCCTGCCTGGAAACAAAATCGTCGCCTGTTAGTTTATACTATCAGTTACATAAAAGTAAAATAAGTGTTATTTAATTAATAAAAAAATAAATTTATGAAGTTGATCTTAGTTTTTTATTATGTCATAGTTGAATTCATGTAACAAGAAGTTGTTTATAACATGATGTGAAATAGATATGAGTCAAAAATTTGTCAAAGCCTAGTCAATGGCAAATGATCTGTTAAGGGAAGTATATTCACTCATTAGAGTAAGGATGTATACTTTTCACGTTGCTAAATGTGTAACTTGTTAAGATTTAGTTGTGGTTAAGTCTGACGTGTTGAAGACTAATATTTGTTGAGTAGGATTAACAATCAGCGATAACAAGTTATAAAAATAAAAATATCTCGATGTGTTCGTCTATCACGTCTCTTGAATATATAAAAAAATATCAAACCAAGTCTAAATAAAAGTTAAAAAAAAAACATACACATATAGAATATCATCATCAATAATAAGAGACAAAATTTACCGCAGAAATATAAAAAAAATTATAATAATAATCTTTAGAATTGACTGAAAATACAAAAATAACTCACACTTGCTTTCTTTAAGGGGGGAGGCTCCGGTAAAAAAAAATCTTTTTTAGTACTCGTTAGAAAACAGTTATTTCTTTACAGCTTTATTAAGATACATCCGCATATGCATTTCCACTAAAACAAAATGGTGGAAAAATCTTGGTAACTATGACAACAGCGGCCATCTTGAAAAATTAACGCCCTCGTAGGTTTTCCACTATCCATAAAATGTTATATGTTATGCCTAATAAATAATGAATTCATAATCTTCTTCCATATTTTTGGGTACTCAGCTAAACATTTTAAGTGCGTGACTTCAAAATAATTTATTATGAATTTTCAAAATTTGTGTCCGTTCAAAACACTTAATTTTGTGGAATTTTTGGGCATTAAAACTAGTGTTTTTAATGGACCCACAATTTAAAAATTCATAAAAAATTAGTTGGAAGATTAGTTTGATAGCGCCCTATATCCATTATATATTTTAGCAACCAATGATTTTATAAAAGAAGAAAAGTAGTGTAATTTCCTTATTTTCAGTGCATTTGAAGCTTTTTAATATAACGTTTTTATATTTGTTTTATTTTACACATTTTAGTAAGTTTTTCTAAATGAAGTTGACAAAACCTACGCTACGACTAAAAGTATTTGCATCAAAACCCGTTTAGTAGCTTGTGATCTTTTAAAGACAAATGTCAACCTCTTCTTTGTTTTTCATTTTTAAAAATGTATTCAAATCACGCCAAAGGTTTCAACTGAAGTTTCCCCTTAGTAAGACAAACTTTGATTGGCTGTATAGAATCACCGTGGTCGTGTTTCTGAAAAACCACTCAGTAGTCATTTGTACTCAAAACATAGCCGATGAATATTGATAATAACGTTAGCCTATTCTTTTGAAAAACCTTCGCGCTTTTATATTTTTATTGAGCGAAGGAATAAACCAAATAGTTTTAGTTTTCACTTTGAAAATTTATTTAGCTAAAGAAAGTAATTGAACATCAAATATGTCCAATCTTTGATACATTTTATTATCACCACACAATCAAGGTTTTATAAGCACATTTATTTTATAACACCAAACACGATTTTTTAAAATATTTAATGAAACATTCGAGTTTTTTCCGATTGTGTCCACTGATCTTCGACTGTCACTTTTTTATTTTAGTTGAATGAAATATCAACAACATTACAGATGTTCTGATGGAAAGATTATTGTACAGCAAGACTGGATTAATGGCCGAGTTAAGAAAGCTCATCAGTGTTAGCACTAGGTAAAGCCACATCGGTAGTTTGATGTCGAGAAAACTTTGGACGAGAAAGTAAACAGAGAAAGGCAACCAGTAGAGGCTGAAACACAGGACGATCTCTCCAATTGTCTTCACGGCCCTTAAGCTGCTCGTACTTCCTCCCGCAGGCGCTCTGACGCTTTTCCGGTGACGCAACGTTTCTTGGTTGATGTCTTTGTGTTGAACGTCTTCTCCAATCTTACATCCATCACGAATGACGTCTTCACCATCCTTGCCAGTATTACAACTCTTTAAGTCCGAAGAGACATCCTTGCCAGTGTTATTCGTAGGAATTTTGTTACTTTGTGAATTTGGATAGTCGACACATTCTTCCAGAGAATTAATGTTTATCTTTAGTGTTTTCTGGTCAGATTTTAAAGGCTGTTTGTTTTGAAAACCAAAGAAATATTTCCTCCTGTGATTAATTCTGTAAATTTCCATTAGAATGAAAATGTACAAAATGTATATGATAGCCAGAGGCAGATTACCAACGATGGCTGTTAGAATTTTTGTTATTAGACTTGAAGTGTGCACACAAAAGATGTTGGTCTTGGTTGAGTTGTCGCTTGTCATTTCTGACAACGCGTCTATTGACGCAAACAGTAAATAAATCAGAGTAGGCAATGTCCAGCATAGAGCTAGCATGACCCAAGTCACCTTCAAGGGTAGCGCTTTGTACACCAGCGGCCTACACACAGCCAGGTACCTGTCCGTTGCCATGACGACCACGTGATAGAGAGAGACGGCACACAAACTTATATTAAGTATGTATTTAACGCAGCTCCAGGAAGAATCGAGAAGGTTTAGTCCATTGGTGATCAAGTCTGGAATGTACAGGGGCATGACGACAAGACCGACGACAAAATCAACGACGGACATTGACGTCATCAGCAACATGGCCGCCGTTGACCTCTTGACCTTGTTTGTCGGTCCCTGGTGTTTACGTTGTACATGTGCGTACACGACAGCTGTGATGACAACACCGTTGGCAAAGACGGTGAAAACCGTTATAAGGATAGCGACCATAGCAAACACAAACACGATATTTGGGTCGTCAGATATTCTGTGATAATCGTCTTTCGCCATATTTAAAAGTATTTATGTAACAATCCTTTTTTTATTTCCAAAAACCTGCAAGAAATTTACAAAGATGTTTGGAATGAAAAATAATCGTGAATTCTGTTGAATTTGTAAAAGATGGTATACAAAAAAATTTGATAGTAAACATCTATTCGATAGTAAACATTGCAATACGATGTTAACAACAACAAAGTTGCCATTGGTGATAACATAATATTTTGTAAAGATTATGACCATAAAGATATCGTGTTTATAAAATGTCTTTAAAATGTTTACATTTAAGTATTACAGGTACAGTTACTTACGATTTAATTGGAGACAGACCTAAGGCATCCAGATATGGAAATTAAAGACAGCAAAATCGAAGTGGAAGATGATGGTGTAGCGGGTCAAATTCGCCTTGGTGGATGGATGGATGGGTTTTCTGAATTATTTTTTTTATGTATTTATACAAAATGTATAGTATTATGTATAACCTAGATAATAAAAATAAATGGTAGCACATTGAAAAAGAAAGCAATACTTACGCAGTAAATTTGATTCGAAATGTCGGGATGTACTTCAGCTTCGGTTATCCAATTCAGTGGCTGCTGACGGCCTTCACCTTTCACCACACTAATGACACATCATCAATCCATTTCAAACATTAGGACTATTGACACAATCATTGGCTGAACAGCGTCATCTATTGTCACGATTATTGGATGAACGTAAACAAAAGAAGTATGGCGTCTACTGCTAGCCTTCGAAAACAAATCGATTCCTATTAATCCGGATTGAAATGTTGGCGTGGTTGGGTCGGTTAGGCTCATGCCTGCTGAACAAAGAAGTCCCGAGTTCGAACCGTGGAGATAAGGCTCAAGCCGGGAATAGCAATTGTTCTACAAGAGACAACTTGTGAATAAAACAACTGCTGCCTTGTAGTTAATACCTAAGTTATCTGGTTTGAAGAAGGGAAGCAAATCCAAAATAAAAGCAAGCTGAAATCAGTGTAAACGGCATATATCACCCATAACAATGTTACGCGTATTCTTGATTGTGTATGAAGAAGAAGATATTCCATTGAAAAATA